AAAAAGACTTGCTTTTCTCTCCCTTTTACTATTGTTTTTCTCTCCAGTTATTTTTTTCATAGTTTTCTAAAGAATTTTTTTATTTCAATTTAATCCTAAATTTTGGATAGTGTTGTGGGCTAACCCAATGAGTCTGTCGCTAATCTGTAGCACCTCTATAACCCAAACATTTCACAAATACTCACAAAGAAGAGAATGCCTCCTATAAAGAATACTTAGAGAAGACAAAAGTGTGGTGATTGACTTGGCTGAAGGTAAGTATCTCTTTATTGTATTCTGTTTCTTTGGTATATCACTACTCTTATCTCTATTCTCAATAAGGGCTATTTTCCTAACATATTCAGCTATACCTTTTTGGCATATATTGGTAGGCCATTTATACTTTTCTAACTAACATTAGGCTATCTACTTTATAATTGGCTATACTAACCCTAAGTTTTGCTAAACTTTCTATACTTTTTCAGATACACATAGTTCCCTTATCAGTATCCGAGCCTTATCTATAGTTTCTTACCTTGTAATACTCAATCTTTCATATCAGACTTTCAGGTTTTTGGATTCTAGATAATTATACATAAGTTGCGTAACCAATATGACCCATAACAATAGCATAAATCCTTATTAAAATTGATTGGTTGCCATAAAATATATTAGTTTTGAAATATAAACAAGATTTTATTGGCTATATACATATGTCTGAATTGGATATTACTTTCTCACATATAATTAGATATCAAGAAAAAAAATAATCTTTAAGAAAACTATCTACCACTACTTAGAAAAGTAAGAACAAAATAACCAATAAGATATAGAATGAAGACAAAATCTTAAAAATATACAGTCTACTTATACAAGTTTAAAATACTAGGAGATTGAAAGATCTTCTATAATTATTTGTATCAATTAATAATAAAATTACTAGCAATAAAAGCTATTTTAAAGTGACTAGTAGATTAATTTCTTTATATAATAGTACTCAAGAACAATATTTATCAAGGCCAGTAAAGAAATATGCCAGAAAAACTAAGATTTCTTTTCTAGATAACTTATTACAATTAGTAAGTAAAGATAAATTCACTGAATAACAAAGGCTACATCTATTATACCACAGCTCTTTCCTCTTTAATTCTCTTAAATTATAGTTCTAGATATTTTCAAAAATCCTTTTGACTTGGTTAGTTATTTGAAAAAATATCAAAAAGAAGACCTAATATAAATAGAGCGAGGCAAAATATAGGATTAAAACTATTTTTTTAATTTTTTAGCCCAAATAATAGAATGAAACTTTTATTAAGTATTTAGTAAACATTTTTAGATTACATGAGCAATTATATGATGATTCTATTTTAACTACCTATCCTTTTCAAGTATACCAATTTTACCACATAGTGGCACTATTTTCATCAGTTGTCCTGCTCTGTTTGGGCCTATGGCATTTCAAAAATCCACTATTGGACTACTTATTTGAATCTTTAAGAAGCTTGTGGTATATATTCCTTAATAAGATTTTGTGTGTTATTTTGATGATAATAGATACTGTAGATGATTTTTACTGTGCTTAATCTTTAGTATGTTAGTTGAAACTTTAGGTGATACAGACCTTTGATTATTTTCTTTGATATTTAGGTAATTCAATAGTATTACAATGATCAAGTGGCATATAATCTTTCATTGCTTCATTTTTAAATACTTTTGCAAGCTGGCCTAATGTGTTTTTCTTTAGTTGTTACTTTCTGAATTATTTTTTTCAAATTTTTAGTCCATCCCTGCAGTTTTCAATGCAGTGCTAAAGTTAATTACCAGCTTTTGCAATAGTTGTTACTATATATTTGGTAGTGATTAGTTTTATAATTGAGATAATCACCCATTAATTCACTTTCTAGTCCATTATATTTTAATAGATACAAATGACTGAAGGCTTCCTTATCTTTCATAGAATGTAGTTTTGACAAAAGATAGATTTCCTTTCTATAATTGTTAAGAGGCTTGAATCAATTAGGATTTGTCCTTGACTTGTCTTTGAAGTCTTCACATATTCTAGATGGTATGATTCAGAGATTTTTCTTTTTGGCACTAAAACTGGTCAAAACTATGTGATCTTAAATATACTATGGTCAGATGGTGGATTTCTATAGATTATTTTGTATACAAGTGTACATGTGACTAATAAGTATATATCTTGTACAATATAATCTATATTACATGTACTGTTTTAAAGTAGAATTGAACCAGTAACTTGAAAGTGGTGACCTAAGTATATATCCACTGTACTATCGATCTACAGGTCTATATAGGATCAAAATTAGAAGACACAAAAACTATAACATGAAAATACTAAAAGCAATAAAGGAAAAGATAATGTGTTCTCAATAAATAGAGTTTTTAAAGAGTATCCAGCTAACAATACAGAAGTGATAGTAATAACATGGTTTCAAGTATCAACTTTATAGTAAATTACTATTTTCTCTCTCTCGGCAAGTCCTTTCAAGATGTGTATAGAATTCTTCTTCTATTAATTCTTGTAAAGTTATTGTTTTTAATTATCTCTACTAGTAGTAAATAACTTTTCAAAAAGATTAGTATATAATATATATTCTTTTATTGAGTTAAGATAAACAAATTAGATTTAATATATACATTAACTCCCTTAGAATTTTTATCATATTAATGGTTCCCTCATTAGTTTTTTATTCAGAGATGGCTCAATTATGAGATGGTTTTTCAATCTATCTTTAGTTTATTAGTTTATCTTTGTTTTATCTTTTAGTTAAATATACAGTATACTTATCTATTAAAAGTATTTGATCACATATTAATCATTGCAATTTTAAAATTTAAAGTTAATTTTTTTTTTATTATTAAAGAATTTCCTAAATAACTTTTAATAAAATTTATATTAATATGTTCACAAAAGTCTGAATTTTTTATTAATATTATTAATATTTATTAGATTTTTATTACTATCTATTACAGACTGAATTCTTCTTGACATACTTTCTACTAAATTTTTAAATTGTCTAATTAATTTGATTCTATTTTACTTCTAAAATAATTATTAATTCTACAAGATTTTTTTAATAAAAATTATATTTACAAATTCTTTTTTATAAAATATTTCATAAATACTCAATTAGATAAAATTTGTGATTGTACAGGTTAAGAAATATTTGTTATTGAATTATTTTCTAAACTTTGTTTAACTATTTTTGCCAAATAATCTGTAACATTATCATACTGAAAATATATTCCAAATTATTATTAATTTATTAATAAAAGATAAAAGATTATTTTCCAATATCAACTCTTTCTCGTTCATCTGTGGCACAGTAAACTGGAATAAGAACCTCTATCTAAAACACAATATGTGAAGAACAACCAGGAGCACAAGCTCCCACTCAAGGCCCAACTACAACAAAAATGCACTTTCCAAGGGCGTGGCCAACCCTATCAAAAAGAAACAAACTCAAAAAGCGCAAAGAAACCCAATATCTTTACTAGACCCAACTCTATCAACACGAATACACTTTTTAATATCTTAAACAAGGCACCTCATATCGACTCCTAAAACAATAATCCTTTGATAAACACTCAACCTAATAATACTGAATCTTGGAATAAACAAGTAGAGAAAAACCTAGCAAGACAAATCCTGGAACCAAACCTTACCTTCCTTCAACTCCCCTCCAAAGGGAAAGAAAAAGAGATACTCGATAACAAAGAACACATTATACAACTCAAGAGAATCGATGACTCTAACATCAAAATGATAGATGATAGTGAACCTAAACTTGTAAGACTCGCAATACATAACACAAAGTGGTAAAAAGTAGGAAACAGAAACTCTCACCCTTGACCCAAATCTCCCTTTGACCCTCAAACTAAATACAGCAAAACTCAAAGTAAAATCAGCATTATAGCTAATGAAGTCCCCAGTGAAACTATCAGTAAAAAGATTCTTGCAGTAACTAGAGCCCTTGAATCCCTCAAAGGTCTTCTCAATATTAAAAGAAAATCCCATGACAACATCCTCTACATCACAGCCCTCTTTGATAACAAGGAAGCAGCCCAAACTAGAAGCACTATAATACTATCAGATTTGGACAACAAGAAACTCATGCACATGGAGATCAGCAGCCCCATTATTATATTAGAGAATAGTATCAGAGTATGGGACATCTCACTATACACAAAACTCATAGATGTCCAATTTACTTTCACCAGATTTGGAATGATCACCAACATTACCATGCAAATACAACAAATGTGACAAACTGTAACTATCACCTACCAAGACAAAAAGAGCAGAGATCAACTTGTAATACAGGGCAGCACACTAATCAAAGGAGACTCAGTAAGGATCTTGGATGCAACCCTTAATATGGAGCAGATGAATGACAAGGTCTCTACCACAGCCAAACTTATAGGCCTCCCCCCAATACAACAGCCTTTGACCTCAAACACATACTAGAACAAATCAATGGCAAAACTTGTTACATCCTCCACTGCATATTATACACTAGAAAAAGATTTACAGTTATCAGCTTTGAAACCAAAACTGATCTTGACAATACTTTGAACAAAGTATTTATACTAGGAAAAACATATGTTACCCTCCTCCCAATAACCATTAAACTTTGTACCATATGTGGCCAGGTCAACCAACTAGCTGCCCAATGTCCCAGGAAAGAAATATGACAACAATGGACCAAATACAACAAGGAACAAGCCAAAAGATTTGGCAAGCTATACAACAAATTCCAGCCCATGGGCATCAGAAATATCTGTCAATACACTCCAGCCGCCCTAAAGACAAAAGCTCATGGATCATATGCTACAGCCCTCTGATCCCATTACCACCACCAACCAACAACAATGGACCAAATATAACAAGGAACAAGCTGAAAGATTTGGCAAACTATACAACAAATTCTAGCCCATAGGCACCAGAAATATCCGTCAACACACTTCAGCCACCCTAAAGATAAAAGCTTATGGATCATATGCCACAGCCCTCTGATTCCACTACTACCACCAACCACAAAGTAATCAAGAATAAGACCTCCTCTCCAACATCTTACAAATCTTTAATACATTCAAGGAAGAAAATTGCTGAAAACAAGGAAACCATCTCAGACCTTGACAAACATATCACCAACCTAGAATACTATAATAAAGATGGAGTAGGCAACATGGAAACAGATCTTAAGACACCTTCACTCTTCAACTCTATACTACTATCATCCCCAAACCAAAACCTAAACATACAAGAGACACAATATCAACTCCACTCCTCCATTAATAAAATGAATCAAAACATGAACACCATCATGAATGCAATCTCCACCTTAATTCTGAACAATCTCATCCACCTATTCACCTTACAATAATGGGAAACAACTAAAGCAACCTTGAGAATTTAGAAGTAACCCATGAGTAATCGAACAAGAACACAACTCACACCAACTTCAATAGCACTTTAGATATCCATATGCAAGATATACCCATACTGATCCCATTCATACTGGCACAAACCTCCACATAACACTTAGAATTAACAAACCTAACACAACTATACAACAATTCTGATTATACAGACAAACCCTATCTTACTATCACTACTCTAAACTGTCAAGGACTCAAAGACGAAACAAAACGCTCCATAAAGGAGGAGATATGGACACAACAACAATGGAACATTATAATCTCAACTGAAACAAACCAGAACAACTATAAATAACCCTGGAAAGCAAATGCATACACTACCTGGTGGGAAGGCAAAGGCCATGGTACAGGCATCGGTATCACAATTCAATACAACCTTAGGGATAGAGTCATTAATATTAACAGATACAAAGGCAGAATTCTTTGCATCAATCTAGCCTTCCTTAAAAAGAAATACATACGAATTATAGGAACATATCTACCTGCCACACCTAACCAGCAAAAGAAAAAACTAATACAAACAATAACCAACTTGATTGCCAAAAAAAACAATGAGAACTGGCACATAATTCTAGCCAGTAACTTCAATACATATCCAAACTGTCACAAAAATAAGTATAGCCTACAAGAAAACATCACTCAAACAAAATTGAACCTTTATTCGACAAACTCACTACAATGAATATAATAGATACATATTACTACCTCTACTCATACTTCAAAGAATATATATGGTCTACTAAATGGATAGCTAACTCCCCAAAAAGTAGAATAGATGTAATCTGGATCTCCTTACGTCCAACCTGGTGCCCCATAAATGCATACATTACAGAATAAAACATAGCTACAGACCACAGGGCAGTCTCAATGCACATAGAAACATGGCAATTTCAAACTCCTATCAAATGTTTTTGTCACCCCACAAATGCAATCAGATTCAACTGTGCAGCAACATCTGAACAGTCCTGGCAAAAGTTTGTAGAATCTATAGACTTACACATGTCCACCTGGAACCAAATGATGAATGAAGATGCAGGTACCAACAAACTCTAGACCACTCTCCATGACTGGATTCTAGCAGCAGCAAATGGTCACATCATAAAATACAAAGAAAGAAAAAGAAAAAGAACAAAAAACATTCCTTCACTAAGACCCATACTCCTGCTCCAGCTAGCAGAAGCTAGGCACCAACTCAAGTACCTCAAGAGTCACAATCCAAAATTCAACCCATCTATCCTATTATTTCTAACTAAAAGTACCCAAGAACAGATCCCCTCCCTAACCATCAAGGAAAGTGACAACCTCGACTCAACTATCAAAGAAATCAAGCAATGAATTGACACCAACACAAAAAATCCATCAACCAACAAATCAGAAATGACATTCAAAAAGTAAAATCTAGACGTTAGAACTGGTTTGACACAAACAAAAAGCAAATGATCAGATCTCTACTTGAACCAACCCACACAAAGTATCATAACTAACAGACTCATCAAAGAAGTCCAAGATGAGAAAACAGTTATTACAGATCCTACGCAGATAAAACAAACAATCTGAAAACACTTTGAAGACTGGACACATTAATGTGACATCAAAAACATCGAAGGCACCATCTGTAACACAAAATATCAGCCCAAGGAGGACATTAAAGCCAGCTGGTATGATCCCACCATTCAGTCCTTTACTCAGGAGGAGATCCAAACTATCATTAGCAAAACAAGTAACAAATCTGCCCTGGGCCCATCAAACATACTATATGTCACTTTCAAACACCTCAACAAAGATAGCTTAGAATGCCTAACCAGATTCTTCAACACAATCCTCACCAAAGAAAAGATATCAGAGGAATGGAAATATGGTGCCATCTATCCTATCCCAAAACTCAAAGACTGGGAGTACAACATAAATATTACCAGACCCATAATACTATTAGAATCCATCAAAAAGATCTTCACTAAAGCCATTTGCATCTGACTATCAAATATATTAACCAAATACCACATACTCTCTGAATATAACTGGGCTGTCCTACCTCAACAAAGCACCAGGAAACCAATCGCCATCATCAACAGAGTCCTAGAGGATGCTTGGGAAACACACAAATCATGTTATATGCTCTTTCAAGATATGAGCAAGGCCTTCGATATGGTCAATATCAACCACCTAATCCAAGCCATACAAAGAATCAAAATCCTAAATAAAACTATCAACATAATTCAAAACTGTTTCACTAACTGAGAAAACTCAGTAATCACATATTTTGAAAACACTGTAACCTATCCTGTTCATAAAGGAATTGATCAAAGTGACACATTTACTATGACCTGCTCATCACCAGAATCAGCAAGATACCTGGATACAATCGCTGAACACACAGACAAGATCTTCACAGTCTCACACAATCAAATATAAACATCTCCATAGTAACTTACATGGATGATACAATCTTCATTATTCAAAACAAATAATACTTGGAAGATATAATTTATATCAGCAACTCCTTCTACTCATTAAATGAAATTACTGTCAACTCCAACAAATCAGAACTCCTTATCATAAATGCTCAACAACAAAGCATCACCATCAAGGAACACACCATTGACCCAGTCAACAAAAACAATGCCATTAGAGTTCCAGGGGTATGGCATGAAATACAACCAGGGAAAACAACCTAAAGAAACCTAATATGAAAAAAAACTAACATAATATACTCCATAGCAGAAAGGAAAACAAGTAATAACAAGATGCACAAATATATAATCAACAATGTCCTCTTTCCAACAATCGAATACTTAACTGAAGACCTAGTCCTTAGTCAGCTCGAAATTCAAAAAATTAACCATAGGATCAAAAGAAGCATGAAGTACAGTATAAAGCCAATCTCATAGTAACAATTCTTGACTCCATCCTTTATCTCAAAACACACTATGGCGTCCATGACATCCAAACAAGACAACTTCAAAAATATGCAAGTGACCTACAAGATCTCCACATAGCTCAAAACACTGCAGGACAAATCTGTTGCAACAGGATCCAAAACCTACAATAGCTTATATGACAGAAAAACTCTATCTTGAAGAACTGCACTACCTTTCTCAAAACAGGACACAATTTCTACCACTATGTCCTAAATAACCTTCTACAAAACCACATAACCACCCTCAACAGAATCTAAGCCAACACCCCAAGGATCAACTCCATTATATAAGTGAGATCACTGACCAAAACTAGTATCACATATACAGAGAAACCCTAAGACACTATCGTATTATGTATATTGAATAGATCTTAGATACCTTCAAAATCAAGACTTTATTATAGCATCAGATAGGAGGATTATACAACAAACTAAACAAAAGAAAAGAACCCAGATGGTATTTCAATCTCACTTCAATCAGTTCAATCTTTCTCAAAAATAAAAAAAGTTCACAAGACATCAATACATTCACCCAAATCAAATATGCTTCAACTAGTACCAGCATATCTGCCTAGTACTTAACAATAATCAACCAACAACTATCAATAGGGTAAAGATTAAGTATCAACAAAGAACAAATCAAACTTGGTCATTATCAACACACAAACAACTCTTTACTTATAGTGTAACAAGTTTACCTAAGTCACCCGATGAAAGCATGACTTTACACCTGAAAGTCAGATAACAACTGCTAAAACGGT